CTTTGCTAACAGTAGAGGCTTTTATCAGGTAACAGTGTGAATTAACTGTAGCTGCTTGGAAAATGGCAAGCATATTTTTACAACCAAAACCAAAACCAAAACCAAAACCAAAACCAAACCAAAACAAAACCAAAAAAAAAAAAAAAAAAACAAAAAAAAAAAAACGCCAGCAACAACAAAAACTAAGCAGAAACTAAGCAGGAGCAAAGCACATTTATTTCTTTCTAGTACATTTCCAACAAATTTCCAATTTCTGGAAAAAAAATGAAAACAAAAAGTATTTAGAAAATTATTCGGAAAAAAAAAATATATATATATATATATATATTTAAAGCCTATTCCCAAAATCTTGATCTTTGAACTGGCAGATTTTACTTTTTAAAACTAAAAGATAGTGTTTGTTGTAGGAGAGGCAAAACAATTGAGTAAATGCAGAGTGAAGCGGTAGTTTTATGCACAATATTTTTCAGAACCTCTTTTTCATATATGAAAACATTTCATATGTGACAAATTTTATTCAACAAATATTAACCTTTAGATATCCCTGGCTTGGCAATCTTTACTTACAGGAGTACTCTGTTACTCATTTGAGCAATGTCGCCAACTGCCTTGTAGTTACCCAAGGAAATAACACCTAATTGGTGATTTAAAACTTTTATACTAAAGCTGAACATTTGAAAAAATATCAAAACATGAAGGATCTGATACCTGCTTCCTCCTATACAAGAATTTCAAAGACTCTTTATTCACCTACTTTTGCTTCTACTATTACAGCCATGTGTCCTTACTCACATACTGACTGACCATGGCTTTTGTTAATCTTGGTTGTTTCTGTATAACACCTCCACAATTTATGAGTGAAGGTTTATGGGTCCTAAAGTGTCTAACAACCTCCCCAAAAGACAACAGTCACCTCAGTGTTTTGTACCCTCTGTTTCAGCAATCAGCAGGTTTTTCTCAACTGTTGTCAAAGGATGAAACAGCAAACAAACACAGGTGGTTTTTTTCTGGTTTGTGTGTGTATGTGTGTGCCTGTCTGTTTTCATTTGTTTATTCATTTTCTGGAGCTTGCCCTAGCTATTACATCCTTCCTCCAATTCCCTTATTCCCCTCCTCTATTCTCTCCCCTTACTTACCCCTGCCTCCTTGCCCAGCTCCTGCCTAGAGCAGGTCCTGCAATGCAAGGAAGGTCAGAACTTAACTGAGAATAGTGAACAAAGGATTTCCTCTTAAGATCCACACCCCTAAAACTAAATTCACAGTCACACTAGAGATTTTCCCACTCTGAGGTCAGAAAATCATTTAAGTGTATAGACACAGACTGCCTGTCTGTGTCAAGCCTTTTATCTACGCTTATATACATAGCCTCTGTGGCCACTCTAATTAATGACACTATTTATTGTCTTTCAGTACCTTTAACTGCTACTATACCCACCCCACTATTAAACCACAACAACTTAAAATCACTATGTCAATAGGATTCTATGTGTATTTACTTCTTTGTAAATAAATGTGCTTGCTTGTGAATAAGTGTATGGCAATCTGGCTCTTGGGCAACCAGCTCTTCCTTCTTCCGTACCTAAGCAGTGCACCTGTGACTTAGGATATCTCTGCAAGTAAATTTGTATTGCTTTGTCTGTCTGAGACATGATGTTTTTCCAAACTTGTGTCTAACTTCCTATGTCCTGTAACATTTTTTATTTTTTTTTTGTACAGAATGATTTTTTCCCCAATTTGTGTCCCTTCTGGGAGCAGGTATCTCAAATTTATTTTCCCCATTTATAATTGCTGGGGATAATTTTTCCAAGCAGTCTGGTTTCAAATATTCCTGAGAGTATTTTGAATCTCTTTGTGGTTTGTTGTTTCTCTAGGCTCTAGACCCTGTGAACCATCATTCAGCTCCCCTAGCTAACATCCCTAATGTGTTTGCTGTTCCTCTTTAAAGAGGATTCATATGAGGACACCAGGGGTGTATAAATATCAACATATCCCAAAGCTGTTTTCAGAATAGGTGTTGATGCAATGCTTGTTTCTGAGGCATACTTCAAACTGACTTTGATTTTGCTGTTTGAGGTGACCAGCGAAATGCACTGGTCGCTTCATCATCTAAGTTACCTGTGAAGTACTAATGCCAGATCGCACTTCGTTGTGGTGTACTCCAAAGGACAGGCAAGACCGGCCACCAGTGTTGTTTGGAAATACCCTGTCATCTTCCTGCCCAGAAAGGAAGCAGCATGTGCTCAGCCTTAACACTTTTCACCATATGTTTCTTTATTCTCTCTTTGCATGATCAGTGTTTCAACAGTGCCACGTCTGAGCACTCCTGGCTGACAGCATCTGTGCAGACAGAAGTTGGAGAAGGCCCAGAGAAGCTACAGAGAAAAAACAGCCATTACGTTACCTTATTTAGACACTAGAAGCACCTGCTGCTGCTGGGGTGATCTGGATTACTTGTGCTGGGTTCCTGAACTCTTCCACTGGTCACCAGGAAGATCTGGCCAACTTCCTGAGCAATGATGAACTCTGTGGAGAGCTTCCTGGGCAAGGCTGTGGCATCCAAGAGATGTGACTGCAGCTTTCTCCATGCTGGACCAGGCAGCAGCACCGCAAAAGCCACAGAGTCAAAGAATATCAAGTATCCAAAAGCTCCATGCAGGGATCCTTCATCCTGTGCTGAAACCCTCAACGTGAAGGTTTGCCTGCCAGTAGCACCCACGGTTAGATATTATGACATACTTTGTCAAAGGCTGTTATAAGCCCGCCTGTGTAGCAATGAGGAATCAGGTTCTGACTTCCCACTCAAGGTCTCGCTCATGTGTGTAAGTACAAAGGCTCAATAAAGCCTTTACATTTAAACTTTATTCACTGGGAGCACTCAACCATTGGCATAAGTGCATCATAAAATAGACAAAGAGCTGTAATTTGTACCAATGGAGCTTAGCATTTCCTAGGGTTGTTGAGGCAGATTTCCATCCTGGGGAATGCTTTAAGCTGAGCAAATGGGAAGCTGGTATGGTCTTTTGTATGGTATTTCCCACCTTCACCCGCTCCTTCTTGTTCTCTGTACGAACACCAGCCCACATTTACAAGCACCTCCAGATCATCTGTATCTAGGCCACTAAATAAAAACAGCCTGAATTTGAAAGTCATGATGTGCTTGTAGCAACCATTTAAATATTTTTAAAAATAAGCCAGTTTTACCAAAGCAGCTGTGAATCTAACCACAGATTTTAGTGAGGTAGGTTACCAAACTGATGTGTCCGGACTCCCTGTTGCATCACTTAGAAGATGTTCATCTTTCCACACTTCTGCAAGACCTTAGGCTTCCAGTTTGAATGAATCACTGGCTCTGACTGAATGCAAGCCCTACAAAGCCCTCAAAGATGGGGTGTTCCTGCATATGTCCTGTCCATCCACACAGAAGTGGGTAAGGGGGTCAGTGTGGAAGGGATTGATGAAATAAATGGGTTTTCTCCAAAACACTGGTAATTACCTCAAGCTGAGCACAGCCTGCTGCTCATCTTGGGCAGAGTGTGCTGAGAGTCTCAAGCTCCCCAGTTTCCACTCTCTCTCTCCTTGTTTCAGGAAGGGTTTATTACAGCAGAACCTTGCTCTCTCAGGCTTTGCACAGTGCTCTTGGTCCCATCCCAAAAACAATCCAATTACTGCTTGACAAAACTAGCTAAAGTATAACAGGAATTTGATGGTAGGGATGCACCAAGCAGAGATCCAGTTCTTGGGGGGTTGGTTTTAATTATATTCCTGTGACTTAGACTTATGATTTAAATATAAGCCTCCTGCAATGCAAATCCTGCCTTTTCTCCTGCCTTGCCTGCGAGGGGCTGTCAGGACTGCCAGGGATGGATCTGCTGTCCCAAGCAGTCCTGAGCAAAGCTCCTGGAGGAGCAGAGCTTCCTTCCTGGAGAGTTGGTGGGCAGCCCTCCTGCTGCAAACGCGTGCATTTCTCTGCTGCTCTCCCTCAGTCCTGGGAGCTGCAGAATTTCTCTGCTCTTATGTAATGGACTGCCGGTGGCTTTGCTTGGAAAACCTCCTTTTTTTTTTCACAGCTGGAGGGGGTCAGGAGCCCTGTCCTACCTCTGCTGGGTCACTGCTCACAGAGCTGCTGGCCGTGGGGACAGAGATGCCAGGCAGAAGGGCTGCAGAAGGGAGCACCGGGGCAGCTTCTCCCCTTTGCCCCAAGCATCTCCCGGAGCCACTTTTTTTCCCTCGTAGCAGCGTGGGGCAGCTTCTCCCAGGGCGACCTCGGGGCTGCAAACGAGGGAAAACGGAGTGGGGGCAAATTTGGGCTGGGGGGCTTTGCCCGGAGCGGTTCGTGTGTCCCCTCCTTGAGCCCATGGGGGAGGCTGGGGCAGGGCTGAGTGCCTCGTGGGGGTGGTCGGGGAGGGCGGATGCAGCAGCCTTGGGACCGGGACACGGGGAGCAGAGCGTGGCTGCTGCTGTGGAAAGAGCTTCGGAAAGTGTCCGGGCAAAGCCCTCCTCCGACAGCCTGGAGGAGAGCATGGGGGACTCGGGGGGTCGGGCGGGGATGGGGCGGGCTGATAGGGACGGGGAGGGGGGGGGCACCGCGGGGTCGGGGGATGTTAAAATGCAGCATCATCCTCTCGCCCCGGCAAATTCCCCACGCTTGTGCTGTGAGGGGGGAGGAAAGAGGGGTGCAAAGGGGTGTTTTGGAGCCGGGGAGGGTGGGGGTCAGGGAGGGGGGGTCCGCAGCCGACTCTGGCTGCACCGCCCGGAGAAGCGGGGCTGCGCGGAGCGGGCACTGCAGAGCCGGCAGCGCTCCCGGTGCAATGCCCGAGCCTCGGAGGCGAAAGGGGGGCACCCGGGAAAGGGGGGTGGTGGAGGGGGATGCTACTCGCTCGGGGGGAGGGAGGAAGAGAAAAAAAAGAGCGAGGAAAAAAAAAAAAAAAAAGCAAGAAAAAAAAAAAAGCAAGTAAGGAAAAAAAAAAAGGCAAGGACCCCCCCTCCTCCTTTCTCTGCCCGGTCCCTTCCACCCCGACACACACACACCACACACACACACACACCCCATTGATCAATATTTGGCTGTCTTGCTGCAACTTGCTGCAGTCTTTTAAAGGAGTAGTAGAGCGAGAGAGGGAGAGAGAAAGGGAAACTGACAGGAAGGGGTAAGGAGCTACACATGTCACATGTGCTTTCTAAGACGGCCAGGAGCATCTGCAGGCTGGATCTGGTGGAGGATGCTGCGGCAGGTGATACACAGAGGGCTCCAGTCGTTTTTCTACAAGCTGGGCTTATTCGTGAGCAGGCATCCGGTGTTTTTCCTCACTGTGCCCGCAGTCCTGACCATCATCTTCGGCTTCAGCCTGCTCAACCGCTTCCAGCCTGACACTGACCTGGAGAGCCTGGTAGCCCCCAGCCACAGCCTGGCCAAGATCGAGAGGAGCTTAGCCAGCAGCCTTTTCTCCCTCGATCAATCCAAAAGCCAGCTGTATTCGGACTTGCACACCCCGGGGAGGTATGGCAGGGTGATTCTCCTCTCCAAACCCGGAGGCAATATTTTGCATCAGGCTGATGTGATCCTGCAGATCCACCGAGCCGTGCTGGAAATGAAGGTGAACTACAAAGGCTATAATTATACTTTTTCCCATCTGTGTGTATTGAGAAATCAGGATAAGAAATGCGTGCTGGATGATATTATTTCAGTACTAGAGGATCTGAGGCAGGCTGCCCTCTCCAATAAGACAACAGCCAGGGTGCAAGTGAGCTATCCCAACACTAAATTAAAGGTATGCTCTTACTGCATGCTTTTGCCAATTAAAGAGGCAGCACTTCATTTCTTGTCCTAAACAGCAGGAGAAATATAATCATATCTATCTCTTTCTCTCTAAATATGTGTGATCTGGGCTTTCCTCGGGAAGCAGCTGAAACTGGTGCCTTGCTATTGTTCTGTACGAGGAGGGAGGGAGGGGGACACGGTACGCTAAGGAACCAGGAGCAGCAGGGAGTGAAGAACAGCCTCGGGACCGGGAGACCTTGCAATGCCTTGAGGGGTTAATGCATCGGGAAAAGGGACAGGAGGTCGCGAACTTGGGGGTGGGGGGCTTAGAGGGGGTTCACTGTCACTTATTACAGCCTCACTGTGAAGCAGGGTAATTTATCTTTAATATGGCCAGAAAAAAAAAAAAAAAGGTGTCCTGCCTTTTTCTGTTTCTTTACCTGCATGCAAAGAAGGGGAAGGGAGGTGGAATTTTTGCTCTCTGTGTGAAAATAATTTGATCTGGTGCTGATGGATGGGCTGGAGTTTTGGGACAGATCCCATCAGCTAGAGGCTTCCAGCAGAGGCGAAATGAGGTAAAAGGTGAAAGAAGTTTCAGTCTTTCAGTCCTAAAATAATAAATAATTCAGCACAGCTATCTCAGGAATATTCCCCTGGCACACAAGCACCTCTTTCCTTCTCAAAGGGAGCAATCAGGCTCACTAACCTGCTATGAGCAAATAAGGTGTAAAGTTTGCAGATGGATGGTGGAAGAAGTTTCTGCAAATTACAGCATATGCTTCCCCAACCATTGCAGGATTTGCTTAACAGAGTTTAACAAAATCCTTAAGATGCTAGATACTCATGCTCAGGACATAGGGAAGAAGACATGGTCCTTTCCGTAGCCTCACAAGGATAGGGGAGATAGTGCTCTTGCAAATACCAGCCACGTCCTGAAGTTATCATTTGTTTCTTACTGTTTGTTTACTAGGAAAAAAAAAAAAAAAAGAAAAAACAAAACAAACAAACAAAAAGTTAAGTCCCTGCCCCAAAAACTAAACCAGAAATATAGATTGATTTTATTGGTCTTTTTCCTTCAGTAAAAGGGCTGGTTGGGACACGTGGGATTTGGTCCCACTGCTGGATATGTTACAGTAATTGCTTTGTGCAGAGTTGTAGCTGTTTGAGCATGTGGAAATGGAAAGGTGTCCTTGCTGCTGTCAGAAAGTCCTGAGTGCAAGGAGTGCTAGAAACACTGAGTTACTCTAGATTAAATACCCCGAATAATTTTTGTCATTTAGTTCGTTATGAAGACAGTTCTATTACAGAATAAAAGTGTCTTCTTTCTTTTTTTTTTTTTTTTAATTTATTTTTAAAGTTGAGATAAAGCTAATTTGATGGAGACATGGATAATCTGGATTAATATTGCTATCACCCAGCCTCGCACAGAAATAGTCATTCTACTCTTAATCCAGATTAATTTCCTCATGTAGAGAAACCCTAACTGAGCCTACCACAACTGGGATGGGATCACTTGCGACTGTGTTTTTTACCAAGAGTGTGCCTACAGCTTGTCCTTTTTTATAGATAAAAACAAATTATATAAAAAAAAAGAAAGTGGCATGAATTAGAGATTTCATGGAATAAGAGTGATTGGTAGGTAATTCACACAGGACAAATGTTTTCCCAAAGCATGGCACCTCCAATCCTCCTACTAGTTGTTGTGTAAGGAGTAGATGTCCTTAAGTGTCTAGCTTTAGAGTGGAAGAAAGCTGGGATCTTCCTACCCACCTCTCAGTAAAGGAAGGTAAACCACCAAAACCTGTGGGTACACTTTAGAGAAAAACTTAAAAATACAACCCGTGTCTGCAGAAAGGCAGAGTCCCTGATGCTGCTGGGAAAGAGACACACTTTGACACAGGTTTTTCCTTCTCTGGTACAGGAGGGACTTGTTTGTGGTACTATGGTCAGCCCTGAATCTGGGCTGGCCTTTAACTATCCCGTGTCCTCAGAGATTCACCTTGACTCCAGCTGCTGGGGATAAATTATTGCTTTGCACAGATTAATTATCCAGGTGCTCCCATTCTGTCATCTCAGTGCCCCACCTACGAAGCTACAGAGTTAGGAAGTTGTGGGGAATCATTTCTTGCTCTCCTTCAAGCCATGGCTTGAAAATCCCAGTTTAATCCAGGCTCCTGGATTTATTTACTGCCTCCCCTGTCTCTGCACCTCTGAGAAAAGGCTGTGGAGACCTAGGCCTGTGTCACTTGCTCCAGGGTTTTATGGGTGTGTTTAACCAGGACCACCTTGGATGCTACACCCACTGAGTTAGATCAGTGTCTGGATGTCCAGCAAAGGGAACAACCACTGTAGGCTGTAGCTATGAGATTTCTAATTTCTTTTTACTTGAATCACAACATGAAAGTGTGGTTGTGGCCAGATCTAATGAAAATACAAACCAGAGAGTCAAATCTTCCTGACCTTACCTGGTTCATCACACTGACCAATCCACGTCCTTGGGAGCTATCTCAGCTAAACTTCCCTGCAAGCCGTAAGGACCCACCAGGATCTTCTAGGGTTTCCTCACTTTTTGGTTAATACCAGTAAATTTTGCTGTATTGTTCTTTTAAGAACAACCTCAGATTGAATAAAATTCTTCTAAGAACAATCCTGTGGGTTTACAAACCATGAAGATATCCCATCTGTGTGGTTAATCTGCATCTGACAGGGGGCAAGCATCGACCCGGGCTTGTTTAGGAACTGCAGTACAATCTTGAGGTGTTCCAGCCCCTCTCCTGCTCTGTCTGGGACCTGAAAAATCTCTTGTACTCTTTTCCTTCCCTGTACGCCAGATTTCAGCAAACTGTTCTGGTTTTGAAACAGCTGGTTTGGGGCAAAGTGTAATGAAACTGCTTGGCTTTTCCTGAGAAAATCTGTCTTTGTAGGGTAATGATCATTCATTACTTGCTGAAGTATTGGAAGGGCTTAATAGCCTTGAATACATCTATCTTCCCTGCCCCTCCATTAGGAGGGATGTCCTGGTCTTTCTGTTTGATAGAGGAGGAGCAGAAAGATGGCAATTAATATCCACAGTGCAGATTGCAGCACGGTTTCAAAAGCCTAAGGTAGGTTTAAAACCCACTCTGGCAAAGCAGGGGTCAATGTAGACAGGTTTACTCTTCCAAGAGGCCAGGTGAACAAAGCTGTATGGAAATCCCAGCTCCCGTTGCTTTGGGGACTCCGGCCAGCACCGTTACAGCCATTGCTACACGATGCTGCAGTCTGCAGCCCAGCCAGAAAAATGCCTTGCCCAAGGTCATGCAGATAGACCGTGGCAAGCAGGAAACCATAGCTGGATGTATGAAGCCTGGATGGAGACTTCTGAGATATGTTGTGGGGCAAGATCGCTCGTGCTTTCCCTATCCCAGGTGTTCCTGTGCTTGGGGTCTGGCTTGTGCTCTTATCACCTAAACCTGGCAAATCTACACTGAGCACTGACCCTCATAAACCGTTTACTCACAAGTGTATTCGCAGGTATGATGTTTGTCTGGTAATCATCCCAGACAGTGCCAGGGAATGTCCTGGGAGATAGTAGGAGTGAGGGTCCATTTTCAGTATCCATATCTACTCTGTTCTGAGGATAATAGTGTGTATCTGCTTGGGTATGTGTTGCCCTGCCACATGGCAGTATCGTCTGAGGCACATTTTATTTATTAGTATGGACAGGTTTATCGATTACATGGGGATTGCTTCTTGTGTACTGTCATATATGAGGAAGGAAACTGTGTTTAACCCTGATTTGTCAGCAACCCCAGCAAATTTGCTGTCTTTAGCAGGGGACAATAATTTAAAACCAACACTGCAAAGAATGAAAATTATTTCAAAACACAGTTCTAACCTGGAAAAAAATACGTACATGGAAGCATTTTTTCCAAGTATTTCACTTTTACTGTTTCTTTTCATGTTTATTGTCTGAGAAAAGATAGTAACTTGGAACTTATTTCTCTGAGATCAGAACAAATACAACTGCTGGTTAGAAGGAGCCTTTGAGAGCAGATTGGTTTTCGTAATACTGCCTTCAATTATTTAGGTATCAGTCATTTATGAACACTACACTAAACAGCAGCCAATAAAACAGACATCTCTATTTCCACAATTGTGATAAGCACATCAACAGGGTATTGAATCCTTTATTGCTCAAGTAGAAAAGTTACTTGCATTCACTTAACATCTTGAAACCTGTAATTGCAGATTTGTTACTGGCCAGATTCTCTCTTTTTTTCTCACTCTAGCAGCTGTAGTTCTTAATGAGTCTTGCTCCATTTGCATTTGTGGAGTTTTTGCTGCTCTAAGATTAATCTCTCCTTAGATAGCCCTGGCAGAGTGTCATGGGACAGAGGGGATATAAGACCAGAGCCCATCCACACAAGAGCAGGCATCAGCATATCAGCAGTAGCCACAAACTTATTATTGCTTCTGCAAAGTTGTTTCAGGCATGAGATCACTCTGACAGCAAGGACAAGTGTTCTCCAGATGCTTCCTTGGCAGCAGTGCAGTTCTGTACCCATTCATGGTCCCACCCGCCCCAAGCCAAGCCTGTGGCTCAGGATCCTGTGAAGTGCTTTTTGGCTGGCAAAAGCTGCTAAGTCAAATCAAAACAATAAAATGTGAGCAGGGAGAGGATCAGAGGAGGAAGTCTGGAAGCAGCAGATAGTTTTCATCTCAGCCTCTCGGATCAAGACACGATTGGGCAGGCTGAGCTTGGAGCAGCTGCTCAGTAGCATGAAAGCAAGGCATAATATGTTTGAAAGCAAGTGGCTTCTTCTTGCTCACAGGCTAGGAAACTTATTTCAAAACAAAACAAAAATAAAATGACTCTGTTGGTCTTCCAGATGCATTTCTGTACTCTCCAGCAGAACTAGGCAGGGCTTCAGACCCACCTTGCTGGAGGGGCTGGTGGAGCTGGTGTCTGCAGTGGATTTAGCTGTGCCCTTGACACAAGATGTCCCTGCAGCTCTTGTGGTCAGACAG